ACCCGCTGGGCTGAGTGCAAAATCAGGCCTTTAGGGCCTGTGACCCTCAAAGGTCGGGCCTTGAGGCCCTGGTGTGTCCCTCCGGCCCTAAGTTGGGTCCGGTAGGACCCGTGTGGCATCGAAGATGTAACAACGCTGGAACCTCAGGAGCTAAAAATTGTGACATTTTTTGGGCCAATTTAGTCGGTTTCAATTTCATTAAAAAAAATGAAAAAATGTCCATTTTTTGACGAAATGGCTGTCCGGGGATCCACAAGAAAAGGTGTCACCATGCTGGGGAGGAAGGCTGCATGCCACTCACACACAGGTTAAGGATATTAATAGGGCGATCACGACATATAAATAACTGATAGGGTCATTGTATTGGAGAATGGATGGCCATACCTCTAAAGCCACTTGGCCACTAGATAAGATGAAAGCAGCGTCTTTAATCTTCATCAGTTCCGACAACCATAGCCGCACCAATCAGTTCCGACAACCATAGCCGACAACCATAGCCGACAGCCATAGCCGACAACCATGGCCATCAGTTCCGGCAACCATAGCCGCACCACGGCAGAAGAGGGAAGAGCACATAGCAACACCATGAGAAACAGGTATCAGGCAACCTCGAGCATCCAACCAAGGTGAACACCTTTGTGGCGACACCACAACCGTTCAGCATCTGAATTTCTCTGCATTCGGCATCCGACCCAGCTAAGTCTTGCTGTGTCTGACATAGCACCTCCCGGAGAAGCGCATGTCAAACAACACCTCTGTCTGACAGCAAAGCATTTCAGCATGTCAATTGTCTTTTTTTCCTGCTCCGAAACCAGCTACGGTGTTCTGCCAAGTACAATGTACAATCATTATAATAGCTGTATTTCGGGCAACTTTCAGTCTGGGTACAGTGATAATGACCTTAGGCTAACATTCTCCCCTCAGGGGAAGAGGGCAGCTTCAAACGTTAACGAATTGATCAGGTCTTGATCTCAGGATCAGATCTGTTTATTAACAGCAAGTTGCAGCAACTGTTATATGCATGTTGCATTCAGCCAAAAGGAAGGTAGTAAGGTACCACCTGAAATTCTGTGCATCCAACACACAGCAAGACTTCTTTGCTATAATATCATTTGACAGAGCGACACCACGAGCAGCAGTTATCAGACAACCAGTGACGCCACGAGCAGCCGTTATCAGACAACCAACCAAGCAACACCCGGAGAAAAAAAAAACATCCACCATAGAGGCATCCAGAACATAATGCCGTGTCTTCCAACCAACCAAGCAAATTCTGCAAAGGCATGAGCTGAGGCAGAGGAGGGAACACATCGCAAGCTCATTTATCTGAAAAAGAAGAAGAAGACGGTGATGATAATGATGATGATGAGGAGGAGGAGGAGCAGCAGCAGCAGCAGGAGGAGGAGGAGGAGGAGGAGGAAGAGGAGGGGTGTGGGGCTATCGTGACACAATGTGATATGAATTGATGAAGGTCATATACATTCATGAAAAACTCAGCATTATTGCCGCCTGATCGCGGAACCGTCAGACTTCTCTTGTTAAATACCATGCGCCCCAAAGTGCATGCCCACACACTCTCTGACATAATCACACGTCGTCATTCCGACTTTCTCAAGAGTTGCTCATGGGTTGTGCAAACATAATGGTGCCACTGCCTCAAATAATACCACAGATTATCATCATGAATACATTCCATCAGAGAGGTCACATACGTTCAGGAAGCACTTAGCTTGCATACGACCGTAAATGCCAGCTGAGGCTGCAGACAAAAGCATTCACCGGGCACCAACGGGGCTTAGGCTAGCTTTGTTGATGCACCCGTGAACTGTTGAAATACAGACCCAAGTTTCGAATCAAGACGCAACCAGATCGAAGAGAGAGGGGGAGGGGGGGAAAAAAGAAAGGCATTCAGCGGTGACTTCTGTGCATCGCAGGCAAAAGCATTCAGCGGCGACTTGTGTGCGCACTGCACTGCAGCCAAAAGTAGGCAAAAGTCACGAGCGCCAGGCCACAGTCTGTTGGTGGTTCGCCATGATGCAAACTTACACTAAGCGTCAGGCCCCACTCCTGCTGTATTTGTGCTACGCTAGCATGAGAACCTGGTCCCTGTTTACGACCAGATTCCTTTAATTTTCTTCCTTTTTTTTTCTAAGTATAGAAATGGCCACCCGTGGGGTCTGAATGCCTTGCAGCGCTCGCAAATGCACCTGGTCAGAATACACCTGAACCGAATGCATCTAGACGGAATGCATCTGGTCTTAACAGCCCGGTCAGAATGCACCTGGACCCCAATTCGGCGGCGGATGCCTGTGTATGCATGATCCGAGAGCCTACATGTGACGGTGGTGCATTGGCGCGCTATGACCGGCCTTTGTCCTTCCAAACATGAACGGGCCACTTCTGTTCTCCGTCTATTACTAAGAGAGAGAGAGAGAGAGAGAGAGAGAGAGAGAGAGAGAGAGAGAGAGAGAACGCAGCATCATGAAGCGGGGGACAGACAACTTACACCGCCATTTTCCTATTCTGTCCGGGCTAGTTTTGTCCTTCAAAACATAAACGGGCCATTTTTTTTTCTGGCATTTCTTCTTTTCCTTGCATAGGGGGCATGCTAATCTTCTGTGTATCGTTCCAGTTTTAACGGATGTCCCCAAGGACCATTTCTGCTTTTCGTCTATTATATGTAGAGAGATAGGGAACATGGAGCAGCATGAAGGGGGAGAGACAACTCGTATCGCCTTGATTTCCCATATTGAACCGGGCTACCTTAAAAAAAAACCTTAAAAAAAAAAAAAAAAAAAAAAAAAAAAAAAAAAACACCTAGTTTTTTTGTCTTTCCGAACAGACACGGGGCTCGTCTGTCCATCGTTAATTAGTACACGTAGAGACAGAATAACGGCGCAGCATGAAGAGGAAAGAAGGGGGGGGCTTAGGTGAGAGCCAACTTACATCCACCTGAAGATCACTCGGCAGCTTCCGCATGAAATCCGTGGAGATCGAACGCAAGCTGTCCTGCATGTATGGTTGTTGAACATCAGTCTTCTTCGTCTACGCTAATCGAAAGTAAAGCACAAATTAATTTAAAAAAAAAAAAAAAAAAAAAATCAAGCCTGAAAAAAAAAAAAAAAAAGTTACAAACGCAGACAGCCATATATAACCATCCAGAATTATACTACATGTAGGGAATATGGGCCTCACTCCCACTACTCACGATTTTTTTAGCAAAATGATAATGAATCTTCCCCTAGAACATGGAAATATACGCCCCCGTATTTTTTGTCTTTTGTTCATGTCGTGAGTTACTGTAGTGGAGCGAGCCCCTATGTCGTAGAACCAAAACCGATGTAGAGTCTGTAGCAGGCCAAAACTGATAGAGAGTCTGGATCAGGGCCGAGATCCCACTACCGGCATGGATCCTTCACCATCACGGCCGTCGTCCTTCCATATCCACGGTTGTTCAGTACCGATTACCCCTCTGGACTCACATACATACATACATACATGCATACATACAATAGATACACATACACACATACATACATACATACATACATACATACATACATACATACATATACATACATACATACATACATACATACATACATACATACATACGTACGTACAACGTTGGCCCCGTAAGCCCTTTGGGCTGACATAGCTACAGTCTTCCCGCCAAACGCAATGCACGGTAATCATGAATGTATACAGCCCAGTTTTTCGGTCCAATACGGTCAATGATGAGGGTGCGTTGTGCTCGGGGTGGTCCGGCCCCTAAGCCGTATGTGCTAATTACATAGTACATAATTTGGCCCCTCTTTACGCACATCGTGAGCGCCTGCTGGCACGCCAGTCCCGCGGGTAGGTCCCGCTTACACGAATTAAGCGATATTGACCGTGGATTGCAAAGATCAACGGCCAGAATCTCTTAATCAGTGCAAGTGGGACCTTGCCCCCGGCGAGAGTACAGGACGTGGCAAGACCGGCACGCGCACACAGAGAGGCTCACACTCTTTTAATCTGCAATGATTCCGACAGAGAGAGAGAACAGGAGGACGACGGAAGCTGGTCTCTTAAGATCCTCTCCGTTGAAATGAGCGGAGATGGGCGAGCAGGATTTCCTTATGCTCTTTTATTTCGATCCAACAGAGCGGGGGAAGGAAGTTGCAGACCGATATCTCTCCCAAGCTGGCTCGCACTTCACTCTCGTCCGGTAAAGCCACCCGCCCCGTCCCTGACGACTCAGACCCCGACGCAGTTCGCCCATCAGACAGCGAGGCTTTGCATACAGTTCGCACGGGTTTCTCTTTCAGATTGCCTCCGCGCTGAGGAGGCACACGCTGGCCGCGTTTCCCGCCAAAAGCACCTTGATGCACGTGGAGAACCCGGAATGTCCGGTCCTCTCCTCCTCGCGTTTCCCGCGGGCCTTCCCTGCCAACGACCGGTCGCCTGTGCTTTGCGAGGCATGGGAACGACTTGCAGATCGACCTGGAAATCGCCGATATCGAGTCGGCGTCAGCTACACCATGCCTTGCACTTCGCCGACCGGTCGTCCGGCGTCGGACGCCCTGAACGCTTGAACCGCTGCTCTTGGCTTCGACAACCAAGCCATGTCCGTGGACTACAACGACCGGTCGCGCGAGGGCAGCCATCGCTGCTGAGCCCGTACACATACCCCCCCGTACTCCACGTACCCACGTCCCTCTCTGCCTCACTCGCTACCGGTGTCGTCGAGGCCAACTGCAGTCACGCAAGTGCGAAGGCGCTCGTGCAGCCTCTTCCCGCCGATTGATCGGTCAAATCACAAGAGGCGCGGATTTCCCGCCCTGCTCTTCCCGTCAACGGTCGCCGTGCAACAGGACCCAAAAACATTACGCTGGACCGAAGTGGATAAGCGCGGGAAACGTGGATAAGCTTTCCCGCGCTTTCCGATGCCACAGCACCACTTCGGCGGTCGTTACGAGGGGCGACACCAACTGGCGCACCTCAGATGGTGGTACACCTTTGAAACTGTTGACATAGGGCCTCGCCACACCTATCTCGAAAACGTTTTTTTTGGAGAGCGCTCTCAAACGTCGGAATTGGAGAAAACCGGCGGGGGTAGTTTAGTTTTCTACAACTGTGTGACGTCAAAAGGCGGGAAAAGAACGTTGAATCATCTTCTTATTTGGTTTAACTCATCTAGTGAGTAGGATTCGAACTCAGGTCTTCCTTTCAACAGTTCATGGGTGTGCCACATCCTATTCCTCCTATTGGACAAACTACTGTAGATCCTTGGGGCCGTGGACATGTCTCTGACAAAGAAAACCTGGCCTGACCTTCCCCGTGCATTCACTGAAGAGGAAAATCCCCCTGTAGTTTACTGCCCTGAAAATAACCTCATAGAATACCACAACGCCTGTGCCTCTCCTGCCATCCCCAACGTTACCCCAATATGACACACCAACCAATCAATGGTTAGCAGTGATCCCACTGTCACACAGGTAGTAGAAAACTATACTAAACAGCTGCATGTGGGTCGAGAGGGGTCGTCGCCACATTGCACTCTCGAAAGAGGCACTCTCCACTGTGTCAGAAGCGACCCCGGATTTATCCTAAGTTTTTGTGAGCGCAGTGTGGCAGAAACGGCATGGGTCCATGGCCTGAGAGCCAGGACAGGCGTGGCCCGAAACCGCATTCGCGGTTGGGGAGTGCTCTAGAAACGAACAGGACAAGTGAGAGGTCGCAGAAGGTTGTCGGTTGAGGCATACTCTCAATTTTCGGGCCGAAATAGGGTGCGCCTCGGACCGCTCTCCAAAAGGGCCTCTTTGCAGGTGGGAACTCCCTAAGGGCCTCGCCACACCAATGTCGTAAATGGAGTTTTCGACATCTTTTCTTCACCACACAGACTGTCGAAGAAAAAATGTCAAAAACACTTCAACAATCGTCAGAGAAGTGGTTTCGACATAGGTGTAGAATGGCGCGCCTGCAGCAGGTCAAGTTTGTGTTTGTCTTCGCCACGTGTTCGGTAGTGGAACCCCCTTTTCCAATAGCGTTGTATGCGGCGGCAATCGCTGCATAGGGTATTAGGCCAATGGGGTGCCACTGCCGTCCATGGGATCATAATTAACTCGTTGAAAGACAATAAATATCAGCAAGTAGGGGGGGAAGTGAGTATCGATAATGACAAAATCAGCGCTACGAATCCATAACACCTTGTTTTGCGTGGAAAATAGTATCGCCCGCCGATCTTGGCGACGGCTTCCCGTACGTCTCACTCGCTCATACATGTCCTTTCCTCGTTGTAGCGGAATGGTCATGATGGGGGTGCGGGAAGTCAGCACCCGATCGGATCATAATAATCGGTCCACATGGCACGAGCAAATTCAACGTACGTGAGTCTACCCAATCGACTGCTTAATCACAAAGACAAACAGTTTTATAACTGTAGCGGACCCACCAGGTGTGATGCTCCGCTAGTGGTAGAGATGGAGATGGAGGAAGAAGGGGGGAGCAAGATGACGCACAGCGCAGCTCCCACGTAGGACTCCAACGCACGTACTCCAAAAATGTGCAAGTGAAGAATGAGCCTGAAAACAGACAATGGCTGGGGTATACCCCAGCGGACACTCGGGACTGGACTGGACTGGCTGGTACCGACAGAGGTACCGGCCTGGACTGGCCTACCCCGAATACAACACAGGCCTGTGAGAACAGGCCAAGGGGCTGGTCTCACAGGCCAACCCGAGGTCCGCTACACGATCCTCGGCCTGTGATGGATTGCCTAGATACAAACATGYTTCCGCCAAGAAGCGGAACTCTACCAAAGAAAAGAAAACCTGAGTAGCCTAGGATGCGGAGTAAGCTCCATGCTGAGTCCATGCGATGCGACATAGGATATAAAATGTCACAAAACAACAATGTCACAGCTAACAGCCTAAGTGAAAGCAGAAGCAACTAACTAACATATATGTCATAGGAAAGCAAAAGCAACTAACTAGCATACATGTCCTAGGAAAGCAGAAAGTAGTGACAACTAGATCCTAGAATGTTGGAGGCACTAGCCTCAGTCTGGTAATAACTGACTAGTGTATAAGTCCTAAGAACAGCAAAAGCAGAACAGCTAAATCCTAGAAATGTCGGAGGCAGTAGCCTTTGTCTGAGAGCAACAAAGCAATCAACAAGACAACCATATGTCACATGAGAAGTGTGTCGCAAACCAAAGGGTGGGATGGCCTCTGAGGTTGGCGAATGCAGCCTAGGGGTCGAAAACTCCTAAGGGCATCCACATAGTGACAGGGGAAAACACATGTCTTCAGGCTCAATGAGGGTAGGGAACTGGGAGCGAATAGAACCAATGACCCTAACAGATAGACCATCAGGGCGGGTAATGCTCGACTAAGGGGTGACCGCTATGGAGGGTTGACCATGCAAGGGAACAAGGGTGCCTGGTATACTGGGCGCACCTAGATGAAGCATGCGGGGCTGCCTAACTAGGGCGTGAGGGCCGGTGAAGGGTAGAAAGATGATGGGTAAGGGAATCATGCAAATGACTCCTAAAGTAAGGGAAGTCGGAGCTAGATCCGTAAGATGGGAAGCCAGGGCAACGCTACGGTCCCGATGCCTATGCGTATACCAAGGGAGAGCCCAACTCAGAGGAACCCGGCTAAAGGGAGACCATCCCGATGCCTATGCGTATACCAAGGGAGAGCCCAACTCAGAGGAACCCGGCTAAAGGGAGACCATCATGCAATATAAGCAGGGTACTGTACAGGGTAAAGTGGTAAGAGAGTGGCGACGTCTGAAGTAGGCAGAGCTGATCGTGATGAAGTCCATAAAGCTGTCGATGATGTCCATGATGAGAAGTCCGGAATGCCGTCGAGGAAGAGTCGTAACGTCGACGAGCCGAAGTAGCAAAACTGGACTGGATGGAGTACTAAGAAGTCAAGGACGTGGGAAGGTAAGTCAGAGTCAATCGTCGTATCGAGCAGGACGACGACAAGTGCGTTGTGGACGCTCAGAAGCATTCGGCGGCTGTTGAAGGTCTGCCTCAGATGGAGCAGGCTCGACTTCAGCGGTCTCCTCAGCCAGGGGAGAAGGAGGAGGGTCAATGGGCTGAGGAGGAGCAGTGAACCCAGCACGACGAGCACGGTCATAGGCACGCACCAACATGCGAGCGTGCTGCAAGTGCTCGAGGGGCTCCCAGGTAGCCTCCTCATCAGGGTAACCCTTCCAACGTACGAGATACTCGACGTGGGGAGGGTTGTCGTCGGTGACTCGGCGACCAATGATGTCTGAAAYGAGGAACTCYTCRTGGTCGTCCACCATGAGGGGTGGAGGGCGCTCGTATGGTCGTCCAGTGAAACGCTCAGACGGTCTGCGGTAAGGACGCAGTAACGAGACGTGGTAGACATCATGCACACGAGCCTGGTGTAGGTGGTCGGGCAGCTTCACACGAAAGCTGACCGGGCTAGATGCCGTATCAGAACCGACGGACTGGAGGATGCGGCATGGGCCAAAGAAGCGACGCTGAAACTTGCGAAGCGTGTCCGCTTCGAGCTGTAAGTGGCGGGCGTCGATAAGCACATCATCAYCGACTTTGAATGGRTGRTCCATCCTCGATCGGTTCGCACGTGCTGCCATGCGAGTCTGGGAAACGGCTATGTGCTCATGTGCGGTCTTCATGATCGACGTCATGTGTGCAACCCAATCATCCAGCGCGGGACAACTCGTGTCGAGGAGCATCTGTGACGATCGAAGAAAGTCCGCGGAAACACGAGGGTGATAGCCGAGGTCACAATAGTAAGGCGAAATCCCCGTGGCTGGCGAGACGGCGTGGTTGTAGGCTATCTCCACGTGGGCAAGATGAAGATCCCACTGCTGGTCGTCACGAACAATCTTTCGAAGAATATCTCCGAGAGTCCTGTTCGTGACCTCGGTCTGACCATCAGTCTGAGGATGGTAAGACGAGGAGAAGCGGAGCTGAGTGCCGTATACCTCGTGGAGCCGTCACCAGAATCGGCTGGTAAAGCGCGGGTCACGGTCAGACATAATGCTTAGAGGTAAGTCGTGGTCACGCACGACTCGATCAAACACGATGTCGGCGACCTCACGTGCACTAATGGCATAGCGGCACGGAACAAAGCGTGCACGCTTCGTAAAGCGGTCGACGACGACCAGGATAGCATCATGACCGCGAGGGGTCGGAGGACGAAGAGGACCGATAAAGTCCATCGACATGGACTGCCAACGACCCTCAGGGATAGGAAGAGGTTGGAGCAAACCATAAGGCAGGTGGTTCACACTGTTCACCTCCTGACAGGTGGGACACTCTGTGACGTAGTCCTTCACAAAGTCCTTGCGCTTCAGCCAGATGTTCAGGCGGCTCACAGGAGCCAACGTCTTGTGGAAGCCCATATGACCGGCAGCTGCCTGGTCGTGGAACTCTGCTACTGCTCGGACACGTAGCTGTCCAGTGGAGGGAACGCAAATGCGGGGCTCTCTGGTGCCCTGTGAACCGTGCCAGTACACAAGACCGTTGTCCCCGAGAGAGTAGTTCAGGATGGTCTTGCCACTCCGAAGGGTCGTGTGGATGTCGCGATAGTCGGGGCAGTGGCGGTACTGAGTGCGAAACTCGTCGATCACCTAATGGTGGACGGTAGTGACCGAGATGGAAGAGAGCTGGATGTGCTCTTGGTCGTGGTCAGGGCGTCGGGATAGGGCATCTGCGACCCGATTAGTCTCACCCTTGATGTGCTCAGTGGTGAAACTAAACTCGGATAGGTCGCGCCACCAGCGAGCCTGTCGAGGAGTGAGCTTCGGCTTAGTCAGAAAAGCCTGGACAACAGAGTTGTCCGTGCGCACCGTGAATGGTGCCCCATGCAGGTAGTGCCGCCAGTGTCGAGCGGCATAAACTACTGCGAGAACCTCACGTTCATCAGCAGTGTAGTTTATCTCAGCGGCCAGGAGCTGATGGGAGTAGAAGGCTATCGGACAATCACCTGAGCGAGACTCGACAGTGCCGT